ATAAAGTTGGTTTAGAGTTGCTGAAAAGTGGTTTTTCGTATTCAGCACACTCGATAACCCAGAAGATTTTCTGTTTTTGGCCCGAGGTACTTCCGAAAGTTTAGGAAAAGTTTTTAAATTAATATTATTTTTCCATGGAAAACTTTTGGCGCCATTTTGTTTCCAAAATTTTCTTAAACTTTCGGAAGTACCTCGAGCCAAAAATAGAAAATCTTCTAGGTTATCGGGTGTGCTGAATACGAAAAATCACCTTTCAGCAACTCTAAACCAACTTTATTTTTTTTGTTCCGGGGATATGATGTGACTTTTTTTCAGCGTCAAGTGGATACAAAAATATGACAAAGCAACATCAAATTCCTCTGAATGTCTTAATGGTAACGACACTGAGAATCAGGGAAGAGTTCCATTTTTCAGTCTGGTACGTAGGCTTTTCGTCTATTTACTCTTTCAGCGTCTATACCGGAGAAAATTGAAATATTTGCCAACATTCTAACCATACGCATCTTATAGCTTTAATTCTCTTGGCGTTGTTACTTGTATTCAAATCTCTAAATAAAAATTTTCTGTTCGCCCTTGCTCTGCTGCACTAACTTCACACCCATACCTCAACAAACAGTAACAAATAAAAGCAATATCTGAAGATAATGTTTGTTATCTGTCAGACAAACTAATGACAACTCATCTTCACAAGTGCTATTGGTATATGACGTTAGAACTTATGTAAACATGTAGAATATTTTTTATACTTCTGTTAGTGTAATGAAATAGGTTCTTCTTCCGTCAACGGTTTTGAATCAAGCTTGAATTTTATATCTTCTTGCTAAAAATTTTATATTTCGCAACTATAATATTCAAGTAAACTATTTTCTGAAAAGAAACATTACTGTGTGATCTTACTTATATCGATATGGTTTATTTTACTAAAAAGTTTTGATCTTTTAAGTTTCGCCTTGCATCTACACGACGATACAAAAGGTGACTTGCATTTGAAAATGATCTTGAATGCAACATTTAAAGAACGTCGTCGACAAATTGATGACACAACAATTACTGTTAATAAAAAATTAGAGAGAATGCCGTACATTGTTTATCCAGTTGTTGTAAGTACTTCAACAGAAAACTCTACTTTCACCGCTTATAAAGGAAGAATGTCATTTATTGACGTAGATGCAGTATGAAATACAAAAAGTAAGTAAATATGATATAACTGGTGCAATTAAACCTTTAGATAATATATTTAATATCTTCAAGATGGAGGATAGTTTTGCATTCTTCATGTTTGAACTTATTTAAGCCTTTACTTTTATTCTTTTTCTTAGATTGATGATATCACCGTATTTCGATATATTCTAGCACAATTACATTGCCCATAACTACTTGTTGATTTTAAAGCAAGTTGAACGATTATTGTTTATCCTTTATCACCAAAAGACTATGTTACCATACTCCTCTTTGATTTTAGTTGGATAGCACAAAATCATCCGAAAAAAATATTGGAGCGGAATGCAGAAAAGCATTTATTAGCACAATATCTGTTATTTGTTGATGCAGACAAACCATTTTTTATTCTATATAGTCCAAAACGTTTGATGCATGTGGCTAATACGAAATTGGCAAACGTTATATTCAATACGGTTTCATTATATTATATTTTTGATATAGAACTTTTATGTTCATTTTCGGCTGCGCTGAAATTTTTTCAGTATGTTTTGTTTTGTTATGAAAACAAACGGGCATGTCGAAAACTACTGATGACAGTTCAACAACATATTAATTATATAGATGAAAGACATTTAGTATAAGACATATGCACCAGTCATACTACCTGCTTTGTTTATCAGTTTATTTATTCTACTATGCAAATTAGTATGTTATTTTCTGTTCAATCTTTATATATATATAAAATCTAAATAAATAAATAGCTTTATCAGGATATTGTTGAACGCTGATCAGGCTCATTTCTCAGCAAAGTGCTTGCTAATCTGTTGGTGGAAAATGTGTCTCAATGTGTCAAACGTCTCAAAAAATGCGTCAAACACTGAACCGACTTTTGTCTCAAAATATTCCCTCTAGATTAAGACATTTGAGATATAGTTTTTATTACAGTATGAATAAAAGAGCTACATTTACTTTGTTTCTCTTATTTTATTGATTGATGGTGCAAATTTATCTCACGAAAGATTGCACTGTTCATATTATACACTTATAGCTTTGTCATCTCATCGAATCTTTATTGAATATATAAATAATTGCGTTACTGCTAAGCAGTATTGTCCAGTGATTGACGGTTGTAGAATAACAAACCTTCTCAAACATGTGCTTTGAAAGTCATTATGCATTCTAAAGAATGTTTGTTGTTGGTATGCTTTTTTGACATTCTTCTTACGTTTAGCTTCAACTGCTCTGATAGAGTCTATAATAAATCCCTTTTTGCTTCAGCAATTCAACATGCTTTCCACGTTCAACAATGCGTCCATTTTGCATGATACATATTAAATCGGCATTTAGTACAGTCGATAAGGCACTTGTAATAAATGACGCCAATACGTTTTTTAGTCATCCTTCTCTTCAAATCAGCTGTGATTAAAAATGACGAAATGCTATGAAAGAAATCGCTGAATATTTTGCTATAGAAAATCTTTTCTTTTAACACTCGGTCACGTCATATACGCGTTCTCAAACGGTGTGCAACAACGATTGTTGTGCGATTCATTTGCGCACTTTCAATTGCCTACTGAACAAGCTGACAGAGAGAGAGAGAGATCTAAAAGTGCGTGAAGTTGACTTAACGTCAGCGGACATACTTTCTCGTTTTCATAATCTAATGCGCTTGTTGGCTCATCAAGTAAAAGTATTCTGGGATTTTGTACTAGTGCACGCGCAATCGCATAACGCTGCTTTTCTCCACCTGGCAGTTGTGCGCCTTTTGCACCAATATCTGTACTGTAACCCTATAATCAAAATAATATGAGCATATATTTACTTATTTATTGGTAATAAATTTAATCATTGATAGAGTAACACGTCTACCTCAAGAAGTGTTTGTATAAAATTGTGAATATTAGTCTGGATTGCTGCATTTACTATTTCGTCGAATGTGACTTCTCGCAAGTGGTCACCGTAGGCAATATTTTCTCTGATTGATAAGTCAAATAGAACTGGTTCTTGACTGATAAGTCCAATTTGGGATCGATACCATTGTAAATTAAGTGTACGGATATTACAATCATTGAATATCTAATAGTATACAAAGCGAGTTATGTTAACAGATCCTAGACAAACTCTATTACTATATTAACTCATTTTCAAATACTCAGTGCAATCCAGGACGTTACAATCTTTCTAGTAAATGAAAATATTTACACAAATTAGAAAATGTGATTGAGATGAGCGAAGGACTAATGAAACTTTGGTTGCGGTAGTAGAACTGTTACAACTCCGCCTTGTTTCATACTTCTGCCAGACAGTTTGTATTTAGGAGACTGGTTAGGGATGATATTTGAAAGATGAACACTTTCTAGACTGAAGAATGTTAGAAATCTAGATATAAAAATGGATAAAAAGTGCAAACGAGATGAATTCTAGCTCTTATCAAACTACCTTTCGTAGCATCATAAAAGCGTTCGATCAATTGAATCACTGTTGATTTTCCGCAACCANACAACTCCGCCTTGTTTCATACTTCTGCCAGACAGTTTGTATTTAGGAGACTGGTTAGGGATGATATTTGAAAGATGAACACTTTCTAGACTGAAGAATGTTAGAAATCTAGATATAAAAATGGATAAAAAGTGCAAACGAGATGAATTCTAGCTCTTATCAAACTACCTTTCGTAGCATCATAAAAGCGTTCGATCAATTGAATCACTGTTGATTTTCCGCAACCACTCGAACCTTAAACGAGGCGAGGAATAAAAAATGGACTTGTATAAAAGGAATTTCATTGAGGAAGATGCCATTTCTATACCATGGTCAGCATTTCACTTATAATTTCTCATCTACGATTCATTTAAACGTTGACTGAAAGCTTTGTTTTAGAGAAGTTTATAGACGTATTTTGTAGCAGTGATGGAGGCATGCTGAGGCACATACTGTGGAGAGAAAAGCTTAGTTATTCTCTCTAGACGACCATCTGTTCTACGCTGTGCGGTAAAATAGTTTTCTCATCATCCTTCGCTTACCTTAAAAATTTTCTGGGCTTAGCCTTGTTTAATCGAAAACCTTTCAGGTAGAAATAGTCATTGTTCAGAAAATTTTAAAACTGGAAGAATGAAAAAACTCTTCTGTTTTACGTGTGAAAGGCAGAACAACTCCGTAAAAAGCAGTGGTCACGTCTTCGTTGCCATTTTATCCTAGCCACTCATCGTTTCGAATGGTTTTATAAATTTTTATCCTCTTACTGTTATAATCTTGACTTGACAACGTGACGACATCAGGAGTTCTGTGTCAAAGTTTATTTCGTATCTGTTATAGTACTACCCGATCATATGTTGATCAGACACTGTTGAATAGCTCCTAGCGTCTTCTGTAGGCCTTTATTTCGAAGTGCTAGTGGCACTGCTTACCGACGCTAATGATCAGAACGGTCTGTTACGTATCGCCAGACTCGATTATCTATATGTATGATGAAATCCTACGAAAAGATACCAAACAAAAATAGTTTCTAAAGCTCAAGCTTTCTCTAAGGCAGATTAATTATCACTAGTTTCTGTTTGCCTTTTCACGTTATTTATGTAGCTCTCTCGTCTATATTTCCACTGATAAACTACCGTTAGCCTCCAATTTTCCTCTTTATCAAGTTTTTGCTGCATTAGTTATTGTATTTTTCATGTTTGGCCAAATTTGTTACATATAAGTCTAGACTTACTCTAAAGGTAACATTGAACGAACATGTTGGTACTCTTATTATAATATGACAGTTTTGGTGCGCAGGATAGACTCCAGATTTTGGCTTTTAGCAGAACGCCTTAGAGTATGTGCGGCACGTCTAGTACTACGTCCGCGATCTTAAAGTAACTGAAAAAAATAAGTTCGGATTTTTTTCAAAAAAGTTTAATTTTCTTTTTCGTTCTTTGTAAAATATATCAAAGGTTTGGTGAATGAATAAATTAATTTGGGTTACTTTCCGAAATAAGATCCTGTTTCCACTGAGACTTGAATGTAACGAATAACGAGGTCATTTTGTGAAACAATAAGTATCTAGAAATTATTAGTATTCATATAACAACGGTTTTTGTTACCTTATAGTTGTTATCATTACGTTGAAAGGTACGTTTTTTTTGTAATAAAAATGAATGATAGGAAAATTTACGAACAAATATTCACTCAATAATATAATTAGATTTTTGAGAATATTGTACAAGAATACTCTTATATGGTATTTTTATAAAAGCCATCAAAAAAATAACTATTCACTTTTTCAAAGTGAACTTTAATTGTCCCCACAAAACTCATCCATCTTTGTAGAAGAAAACAACTGCAATTTTTACAAACCTTTTCGAAGTTCCATCTCTATCAATACCAACCCTTCTTGTGCTCGGACAAACCTTTTCATGAAATGTATTAGACTAATTTTTTCAGAGATAATTGCTTTGGCCTAGGTGTGAACGAAAAACTATCAAGTAATTAGCCATATTCAATAAAAGACGATTTTCGTTACTTTGTACTTGTCATTATAAAGTTGAAAAATATTATTATTTAAAGAAAGACAATGATTAAAAGAAAAAGTTAATGAAGAAAATTCAACAAAAAACAATTCGAAAATAAACTCAGTGAACAAAAATTGATAAAATAACATAATTAAGTTTTAAGCAAAAATACATTTGTGGACGCCAGTTAAAAAAATAACTCTTAGCTTTTTCAAAGTGAAATTATTACAATGTTCATGTTAAACGCTTCAGTTTTAAATAAACAACAACTACGCTTTGTAACCCTTTCCAAATTTCTTTCTGTACGCTTCAACAAGAGCATTCCCTCTTCCTTCATTCCCTCCAATTGAACTACCAACATTTCTTAAAACCTCTTCAGTCACTAAATCTGTCAACCTCTGAGCGCCTTTTGGAGAATTAATATCTAATTCTTCGCACCTTCCTCCAGTTTGTGTTGCAATTTCTTGAAAGTCTCGTTTTGCTTGCTTATGTACAAAGAATGCATGAACTGGAATTTTTTTGCTCGTTTTGTTTTTCAACTTTTCTAACTCATTTGCATAAAAAGTTGGTTCCTTAAATTTGGTAGTTTCCCAGTACTTTTCACCACCATGAATTTTATTCTCTCTACCTTTTCTTACTTGTTCCTTTGTATTTGCAGCAGCATCACCTATTAATATTACTTGGGAAATGTTTTCTTTTTTATTTTCTTCATTTGCATGCGAGAAACCAATCTCAATAGCTTCTTCAGTTTGATGACTCCACCCGCCTTTAGCAGAAATCCTATCCATAAAAGCACGCAAATTATCTGCTTTCGTTTCCCAAGGAGAAGTTTGCAAGATCTCATCTTCTTTACTATTATAATTTCGATATACAACGAATTGCATTTGAAAACAATCTGGAGGAATTCCATTTTCTTTCAAAACAACAGAAGCACGTTCAAACATAGTTCCAACTGTATTTTTAGCTTTATGTAATAAATGACTCATTGAGCCTGTTGCATCCATTAAACAAATAGTTCTTGACTGACTATTACCACCTGCTCCTCTATTGCGTTCTCCCAAAAATGCTTTAATATCTTGTATCTTACTCTGATTGAGACTTTCTACAAATTTTTGACCTTCATTATGTTCCTTTTTGGCTCCTTCGACATACTTGCTACTGTTTACATACTGTTCTTTAAAGAAATCATTTCGCTTCTGATTTAATGTTTCATACTTTATTCCACTTTCATTCATGCGTTTAACATCAGCTTCAGATATCAGAAATTTTTCTAAATCTTTATCTAGAATGACTATACTATAGGATCCTTGTTTTCCTTGTCGTGCTGTTCTACCCATGATCTGAGTTTCTTCAGATAATTCTTCAGAGAGAAATGTCTGAATCACATGAACACCACCCTTTTCACCACACGTCTGATCATTACAAACAAAATCAGTTCCTCGTCCAAATTCTCTTGTTAGCAATGTGACTTGACCTGACGTTGTTGCACGTTTAACAAACATTTCTTTATCTTTAGATGATATTTCTTCTGTTATGATAAGAACCTTATCTTTTATTGGAGCTAGAGAATCTGAATGATAGAATTCATTCAATTTACTTCTAGATTCAAAAAAGACTAAAACAGCTCTTTGTACATTTATCATATTATTAATTTGTGTTACAATTCTCTTAAAGTAAAAACTTGTATCTTCAATAAGAGTGTCCACATCTTTTGCAAAATGGCGATTATTAGCACCAAATACTGATGGCATATAGGTACTTTTTTGAATATGATATATTTTTTCTACAATATCTCTTTCTGGAATACTCAAGGTCTCTAATGTTCCTGTAACTCCCATGATGCGATGAAAACGAAGAGGTGTTTCAGCATACGAAAAGCTTCCACAATGAATTCCAATACTTATGTTTTCTTCTAAACTACTTTTACTTATTTTTCCTTGTTCATGCTCGTAGTAATAGGCAAAAAGTGTCTTATAGCCATAGACCATATTGTATGATATACCATCTTGCTCTTTGTAAGCAATTTTATCCTCACTAACTAGATAATCATGAGATTTGAAACTCTTTACATCAGCTAACATATCTTTAACTGCTTCTTCAATGAGAAATTCCCATCCTTTAAACTTAGTACAACATGATCGATATTCAAGAGTCATTTTCATTCCTACTAGTGTTAATGCCGCATCTCTTCTTTTCCAAATATGATCAGTTAATGCCATAATAGTTGGATCTTTTAACTGTGCTAATGGTGTATAAACACTGCCATAAAAATCTTGGTTAAAAAAAACATCAACTTCATCTACTAACAATATTTTGGGATGCTGATTGGACACTTCCTTACTTAATATAGGGTTATCACCATTAACAATCAAGTTTATAACTCGATTACGGATATCACCGTTTTCATTGATAATATCTTCACACAACTTGTTAAAAGTACCATAGTGAATATGATCATTCACACCTAGTGCAATAAAGATTGGCAGAAATTCTTGATAATCTCTTTTACTTAAGTATTCACTATAGCATGCACACCTCACATCAATACCTAATAGAGCGAAAATAGAAGCAGTAACAGCTAGGGTCACTGATTTACCTTCACCTGTACCAATCTGTACTAAATTATTCATCAGCTCATCTCCATTTCTCGACACTCCTGGTATAGCAACTCCCATTACTTCTGTCGGTACTTTATAACCAATACCAAGAATACGGAAGATGGAAATGACTTGAGCAGGATGAGGTTGTAATAAATAGGTACGTCTATTTGTAACTCCTCTCATCTCATTATAATACTGAGTATTTTTGAGAGTCCATAAAGCAAAAATCTGAGCTACCAAATTTGGAATTTTATTTCTCACAGAAGCATTCCAGGTAATGCCATCAGATTTATGTTTAAGTTGCCCTACATGAAGACTTATCTCTGTAACTAATGGATCAAGATTAATCTCAGTTTTATTCTCATCCAGTTTTACACTATAATTTTTAATTAATTCTTCATACATAGAATTAAATTCATCATACCGTTTATGCAGTCTATCACGATCAACGTCATCACCCTTCAATTTATCTAGAACATAATCTATACCATACTGTTGAGTATCTCTATTAAACATAGATATTGCATGACCTTTAAAACATTTATGTTCTGAAATGATGATAAGACCTACACCACTAGTATCGTTTTCCAAAAGTACAGCTAACGTTGCTAAGACTAATCCATCGCCACATTTCTTCCTGTAAGTCTGTAATATTTCATCTATATCTTCATCTATCGTTTCCTTAAAAGCCGGTATATTGTTGGAAATAGATTTCATACTAATCAAGCTATTGGCAATTTGACTGGCATCAGATGTTTCATTAGCTACCTTCTGCAGAACTGCTACTTTCCCAAGCACTCTTCGTTCCAAATTTTCCTTTATTTCTCTGGCATCGATGTTTGGAGCATTTACATACTTCTCAAAACACAGCAAGTTATCATAATATAGTCTAAACTGATCATAATCTCTTATTGTCAATCTGACTCGTTCCATGATGTCTACAGCAGCTGAAGCCATTCACTCGATCTTCTTTTTTAGTGCTTCTGTACATTCTTGATTAGTTGTATTTACATTGATAATGTCACTATTAATATGCTCTTTTAGTTCTCTTATTTGGTCCATAGCTGTTAATTTAGCTCCTAAGTTTTGATAAAATTCATCCTGGTGTTTCCTTACATCAGCATTAGTAAGTTCGCAATTGATAATTTCATTCTTTATGTTTCCTAATTTAGTAGATACTGCGCTTACCATTTCCGGATAAGATCTGCCCCGTTCCACAAGTTTCATCAGAGAACTTATTGAATCATCACTGCAGGTATGAACTTCACTATAATGTGTTATTTTCTTCAGAAGACAACTCCACTTTTTTACGGTGTTTAGTGCTTCATGAATCTCTGAAATATTCGTTTTACTCAAACCATCACGGTATCTTTTGTGATTTTCTTCGAAATACTGATATAATCTAGCATATAGTTGATTAGATTTTTGATCAATATTGCCAGCAAGCAAGGCTTGTGCATTTTCCCTAAGCTCAGATTTGAAATTCATATAAGCTACGAAAACATCAAAACTTTTTTCAACAACTTCTGTACTTTCTACAGTC